TTTTGCTATTGTGAACAATGCTGCCATGAACATAGGTGTGCATATGTCTATTCGAGTGACGACTCTTAGTACTATAGTTTCGATTATAGTTTTTCTTTTTTCTTTTTTCTTTGCTTTTCATGGTTATAAAAGCAGTAAGCACTCATTGCAGGAAATTAGTAAGATATGTCCAGAAATAATTAAGATTATATAAATGGAATTACTAAGTCAAATGCAATACATACTGCATACTGCTAAATTACTCTCCTAAAAGTTTGAATCCATTTTTATTCCCACTGGAAGTATATGGCCTGTCTAGTCTCTTTCCTTACCCAACATTCCATGTTACCATTTAAAATAAGTTTTTGCCATACTCATAGGTGAAAACCATTATTCATATTTAAACATGCATTTCTGTGATTACAGTGATTTGGATATCTTTATGGTTTTTGAGCATTGGAATTTATTTATGAGCTACTTATTGATGCATTTTGCCCGTGTTTCTTTTTCTTGGGAAGGGTTTTTTTTTAATTGATTTATCAGAACTTTGTATAATAAACATATTAACCCAGTCTCTGACATGAATACAGCAAATATTTTTAACATTTATCATTTTGTCTTTTCACTATATTTAAGGTCTTTTTAATTATAACAGTATTTTAGTAATATCTTTGTATAGTCAGACGTTGATATCTTCATTTAGGGTTTCTGTGTATGTGCTCAAATAAATGAGAATGTATGAAAATGTTCACTTTATAGTACATTTATGGTTATAGATTAAAATTTACGCTTTAATCTACATAGTATAATTTTGGGGTGGGGGGGACTAAAGTGTGAAATAGATATTCGTAGGTTTCTCCACACTCAGATTCCACTGGCCAGGCTACCTCCTTGGTCTAAAGCCCCGTCTAATTATTCATGCAGACATTTAAATTGAAGAAGTCAAGGAAAGTCCCCAAACACAGGAACCACACATCTGTCTTTGCTGTCCTTCACATGACCTCCTTTCTATAGAAGATTCGAGCTCCTCTCTAAGTCTCAGTCATCCAGGCGTTCAGCTGTTTCGTCTCATGTGTGGGGTCATTTCCTTTTTTTTTCTTTATGATGAAGCTATCTATTTTTTTTTTTTTTTCCATTTACTCTAAGACAGATTTATCAATGAGGTTTATATGCTTAGTTAAGCATCTGAAAGGGACACTTTTAGGGTATTTAGTGTAGATGGGTATAAGGAAGGTATTATTAATTTTCTACACTCATGGAAGAACACACTTTTAGACAGAGTCTGTTGTGTGTTAAGGCTTCACCTGTCTGCACCCTGTTATGTTGCTAATAGATCTCTTTCCTTGTCAATCAGGCCCTTGTGAATCAAGTGTCAGCAACTGTTGAAAATCGTTTTTCCAAACACCTGCCAAGTGGTGAAGCTCTATGTGGTGTTTTTACAAGGGAGTATCGTCATGATGCCCTCAACTGTCAGGTAGGGTATATTAATTAATGACTTTATTATCAAATTATGGAACAGTACTTATATATCTCTTTCACTAGGATTTCAGCATCTTCACAAGGCCATGTGAAATAATTTCCTTGAATTTATGAAAGGTAAAATTGTTTCAGAGAAAATTTAATATCATTACATTGCAAAGCATGAGAAATAGAACAGATTTTTCTCTAACGACGCTTATGTTTTGATTTCAGATTTCAGTAAATACTCACTGCATCTTGGTTTATAAAAGAATTCAAAGTTATATGGAAATCCCAATAAGTAATAAGAAAATTAACAAAAACCACTTTCCAATCATAATTTCTTTTTCTTGAGAAGTCAAAAATGTTGTATTACTGATAGTCTACTTGGTGTTAGGCAAATCATAGAGAAATACAGATTTTCCTCAGTAAACTCCCAGGTAAACAATTAAGACTAAACAAAACAATGGCTGTAGTACATTGTGTGGTAGACATGGAGATGTACTAGCCAGATTGCCCTTCTAGGAAGACTAGCTGCCCAGCTATGGGGAGTGTTGGTCAGGACAAATACCAGCTGTCAGCTCTCCCAGGTCTGCCTGTGACGTCCTGAGCTAGGCAAGGGTATAAACATCCGGCCATATTGCCTTGGTATGGGACAACTCTGACAGACAATACTCACTCCAGAACTCTAAACAGGATACCAAGGCTTCGTCAGGCTTTACAGTTTGACGTCCCTTTTGCCCCAACTTGTCATAGTTGTTGATCTTTAATGAACTTCTTGTACTCCAAAGTGTATCTCACAGTTAAGTTTTGGAGAACCAAACCCGAGACAATGAACTATTTCTATTTTTAATACTCGGAATGCTCATACATTTAAGAATTTAAACTTCAAAGCTGACATTTTACTGTTTTTGACCTACAAAAATTGCAATTTCATGTTTTTCAAACTAATGCATCACAATTTTAATGAAACTCATTTTCAGAGGCATTATTATAGCTTAGGGTCCCAGGTGGTGCAAATGGCTTCAAGTTGACTGCTAACCGAAAGGTTAGCGGTTTAAACCCACCCAGTGGTACCATGAATGAAATGCCTTGCTATCTGCTTCCTTCAAGATAATAGCCAAGAAAACCCTATGGAGCAGTTCTACTCTGTAACTCCTAGGGTCACCATGAGTAAGAACTGACTTAACCTCAACAGGTTTGGTTTTGGTATTTTATCCTAACTATCAGCAGATCTTCTCTGTCCCACAGGGTCACTATGTGTCAGAATTGACTCGACGGCCGTGGGTTTGGTTTTTTGGTTTCTAGCAGGTACATTCAGTGACTTAAACTTTTTTTTTTTATATATATATATATTCATATAACTGTCTGCCCATAGTAAGTGCTGGAATGTTAGTTCACACACTATTATTATTTTTAGGTACTTATTACAGTGCCTGCCTGCTTTGAAATTCTGCTCCTTGCTCCTCATCGCCAAAAATGGGTGAAAAAGATCAGATATGTTATATTTGATGAGGTACGTTTGGTGTTTATTTCTCTGGGTTGATGTCCTACTGTGCATACATGCTATAAGGAGGATTTCTGGTGCTTCGGGACCTCAGCCCCCTTGGTTGACGTTCAGGTTGGAGGGACACTTCCTTTGGAACTGTCTCACCAGTGAATCACGATCGATCTTTTGGCTCCATTTGCCTGTTGTGACCCCACAGGGTAGATCGGTTCACTCTGTAGATCTCCGTATGAGAGAGGAACCTTCCATTGGTGACTGCTATTTCAGGGGAACAGAATTCACCCACCATATCATAAGCTTCCATGGATAGAGATTTCAAAACCCAATCTTAGATCTCTAAGGCAAAGAATAGTGCCTTACAATTGCCAACAATATTGGGAATTATGGAATGTATATCATCAGTCATGGTCCCAACAGAGAACGGATAGCATGTTCAAAATTCAAGAATCAAGAAGGGTGTGTTTTTAAAAGGTATGTGTACAAGGGAAACTATAAGAGTTAGTTCAGTAATCCAGAAGTAGAAGCTTACCTTAATCCTAAAAGGACGAGGTGAGGAAGCAGTTATTGAAATTCAGAAGGAGGTTCCTGTTGAGTTGACCACATTGGAAGGAGCTCATCTTACCGTGGTTGATGTACACAGCCAAATCAAGATAATCTTCCAGGAAGGGAGACAAGGGAATAAAGACCTCAGCTTCATTCTACCCGCTTCCTCTGATCAATAGCCAGGGCTCTCCACTGGCCAAATCCAATAGAACCAGAGGGTATGGGAGCAATTTTGAGGTAATCCTTATTGGTCAGTTTCCCTGGATGGAGAGAACAGGGTGGAAAATAGTAGATATTTATAGAGACAAAGAGAAGATATTTAGCAAAGATACGAAGCAGCATTACTAACAATACTTACTCAAAGTGATTTAACATATTAAAAGTATATGTTCCTTTGCTACAAGGTTTTGTCAGCCTAAAGGGGAAATAGATGACAAACCTCTATTTACTGTACCTTTTTCTTGTTTTATACTTTGGAGCCACCAAATAGTAGAAAATACTTTCTGATTTGTTTGATCCTGAATAGATTTGTTTGATCCAGAATAACTCCTTGTATTAGTTATTTTTGGTTAATCTGTGTAAATTGTTTCTCGAAGGCCTTGACTATTCCTTAAAAAAAAAAAAAGCAAAATAAAAACAACTTTGCCTTTGCACTCTGGAACCTTGAATTATAGTCTAATCTCAAAACTCTAAAGTCATATGACATTGGGTACCTCAGTTTTCCCAATTTTACATAAGGGTGAATCTGATGGGTTTTGAAGGTTAATATCTGGTCCATCAGAGTCAGAGAAACGTGCCAGCTAGTACAAAGCGTAAGGTTAATATTCAGCAAAGTGGTAAATTTTCTGGCCAGGACAAAGCCAATGAGTAGTTGAAATATTCTTTTCTTTTTTTTTTTATTACTAGGCTTCTCTGAGAGTAAGCCCTTTTCAGTTGATTGTCAGGTGTTATAATCTGTTTAATGAAGACCACATTTGAGAATCTTCCCTGACTCCACCTCAGTTTGCTCTGTTTGGTCAAAAGGCATTCATTCATTTATTCAGGAAATGTTTATGGGGTATCTTCTCAGCGTCAGGCACTGTATCATCACTGGGGATACCCAGGTGTAAGGTCACAGTTTAACTGAGAAAGAGGAATTAAACAAGTAAGTGCACACATGACTATATTAGTCTGCATTGGTCCATTCTATGGAGAGAAAGAGCAGGCTGTCATGTCTCCAATAACGGCAGGATGGGCGAGGGAGGACATCCAGAACGGGTGGTCAGAGAACTGTTTCCTAGGCGGTGACATTAAGCTGAACTCAATAGATTAAGTGGAAGTAGCCTGAGTAAGAGAGTGGGTAAGAGCATTTTGAGCATAGGGAACAATAAGTATGTGAAAGCTCCGAGTAGAAATGCAACAAAGCAAAAGCCAGTATGCCTGGAGCAGATTAAATGTGGGGAAGAGTGGCTTGAGATGAAGCTAGAAAGGTAAGCAGGGGCCAAATTATGCTTGGCATTATATGCCCTGTTAAGGAGTTTGTGAGGAAACCCTGGTTGCACAGTGGTTAAGAGTTTGGCTGCTAACCAAAAGATCAGCAGTTCAAATCCACCAGGTTCTCCTTGGAAACCCTATGGGACAATTCTACTCTGTCTTATAGGGTCGCTATAGGTCGGAATCAACTCAACAGCAATGGGTTGTGGTTTTTGGTAAGGAGTTTGTATTTTGTTCCATGTGCAATGGGATGATAGTGAAGAAATTTAACTAGGGACATGAACTGACCAATATTTATCTTTTAAACGTATCATTTTGGTTGTGTTTGAAGAATGTAGGGGTCAGGAACGGAGGCAGGGATAGCAGGCAGGATACTGTGGTAGTTGAGGTGAGATGTAATGGTGGCTTGGTTATAAATGGAGATGGAGAGAAATACGTAAATGTGAAAAAAATTCTGTAAGTAAGAAAAAGAGGAATTTGGGATAGATTGACTAAGGGAATTGAAATTTTAGGTGTTGAGATTTATTGCCTGAATTTGACAAACGCTGAGTTTTGGGAAACTCTGAGTATTTCAGGCTTCCATATCTTATTTTCATTTATAATTTATAAATCAGCTTTTCAGCTGAGAACCTTTTTTCTTTACTAGGTGCATTGTCTTGGTGGAGAAATTGGAGCAGAAGTCTGGGAGCACCTCCTTGTCATGATCCGATGCCCCTTTTTGGCCCTTTCTGCTACAATAAGTAACCCTAAACATCTCACTGAGTAAGTGTTGGGTCCACTTGGGACAGAATACTTACCTATTTTGAATGTTTGAGTTTTATGCTTTCTGTATGGGTTCTGAAGGGTTTTGTAACTTTTGGGTGAATTTATTAACTTATCTCTTCATCTTCAAAGAACAGAGCCTGTCTTTTGCATCCTGGCAGGTACTGACCGAAGTCATCCTCTAGAAAGAACAGTCAAGGACTTCCCTAGGCAGATCTAAAATTGAGTAGGAAATGTTCCCTCCTATTTCAAAAAAGGTTCACCAGAAATGATATATTTATATCCCTTTTTCTTTGTCCTTCACCAAGAAGTGAAAAATAAAAAGGTATAATGACGTACTCAGCCAGGGACCCTGAGATTTCTTCATAATATCCCACTTGTAGAGCCTATTTAGAAAAATAGCAAAGCCTTATTATTGATAGCCACAGATTATTTTGTCATGGAGCTTGATTTTTTTTTTTTCTCTAGTAATAATGGCAATTATAGCAAAGACACCTGTAAGGCTTTCTCAGTGCCAGGTCCTGTTCTGAGGGCTTTGCGTATCCTCATTTAGCTTATATATCTGTCAATCTTAATGGAAAATTAGGCACAGAGAGGTAAAGGGACTCAACCAAAAGAGCCACAGCTCATAGATACAGAAGCTGAGATTCAATCTCAGGTGGTTTGACTCCAGAGCCTATTCTCTGAAGTATAATTTTCAGGGCATATGAAATTTATTTATTTACTTATAAATGTTTTGTTTCGTGTGAAAGAACTCCATGTTCTACCTCAATAATATGTAAATTTATTTTTTGAGGTGGCTACAATCAGTAAAACGGTACTGGAAGCAGACAGACAATACAATCGGAGAAAATTCTGCTTCTAAGAGAAAGACTGGCTCTCATTCCAATGTTCACAAAGACTCCTCGCAAATGAAACAATCATATAAAGTTAGACTTGGTATGTTTGATATAGCCATAAGCATTTTTATATTTTACTGAGGATTATTCTAGTCATTGCGTGTCAATTGATTTGGAAATTCTTGTACTTCATGTTTTAGTCCTCTATGAAGAGAGATACAATGATTTAGAGAAGCACGTATGTTCCGTGAAAGACGATGATGTTTGTTTTGATCATTTTCACCCGTGTGCTGCACTCACAGCAGATCATGTAAGTAATGCTTTAGCTGTGTTTGCTTTGAGTAATATAAATTTTTAGTGTATGTATCATAATTGAAAAGCTGCCTGATTCTTAGCAGAATTGCAGAAAACATACCCCGCAACAGATATTTTAACCTTAGTTTTAAGGATGGGAGCCTTGGTGGTGCAGTGGTTAAGAGCTAACGCTGCTAACCAAAAAGTTGGCAGTTTGAATCCACCAGCCGCTCCTTGGAAACCCTATGGGACAGTTCTACTCTGTCCTACAGGTTCTCTATGAGTCAGAATTGACTCCATGGCAACAGGGTTTTTTTTTTTTTTTTTGGATACCCAGGATGGTCTTTGTTGGTTTCTCAATGGTGTCTGAATCCACACAGCCTGAAAATGACTAAAAGTTTTACCGTGAATTCTTTGGTTAATTTACCTTATTTCTGGACATTATTTTTGTCCACTTTCTTTCTTTGCTACGCCAATGTCATTCTGTCCACCTCTCTGCCACTAACTCTTCCTTCAGTGTTATTAGGTGCCATCAATCAACTCTGACTTGTAACAACCCCATGTGATAGAGTAGAACCACCCCATAGGGCTTCCTAGGCTATAATCTTTACGAGAGCAGATCACCAGATCTTCTCTCCCATGGAACAACTGGTGGGTTCGAACCACTGACCTTTTGGTTACCAGCCAAGCACTTAACATTGGCCACCAGGGTTCCTTCCTGGCAGATTAATCCTTCTGAAATATAATTCTGATCTAGACAAGCCTTTAATGGCGTTCCCCTGGAAAAGGATAAATGTCAACTTTTTTAGCTTGGTATCTATGGTCTTCTGTGGCCTGGCCCCAACCTCCTTTCTACTCATGCACTCGTATTTTACTGCTAGAGGCCCTCATGCCATATGTTGTACCTGGAATGTTGCACCCCCGAGTCCAGTGCCCGTTGTCCAGATCCTGTTCTTCTCTCGCAACTTTTCTCCTGCTTTCCTTTCTTTCCTCCTTGATTCCTTCCCTTCTCTTTTACTTTTTTCATTTGCATTACCTTCTTCCCTCCTTCCCTCTTTCTTCCTTCCTGATACCCAGTGATTATCTTATTTCATCCAATGATTACCTTATTTTCATCTGTATCTGACTTTTTTTGACTGCATAATTTTTTTAAAAGTAATATATTCTCCTTAGGATGGTTCAAGACAGGTTCTCTTGAAGCAGCTCTGAGTACAGTGGTTTAGAGCTCGGCAGGATTATCATTTTGGTACAAGAGCCTTTGCCCCATTCTCACTAGCTATTTATGGAATAACTGGAAAGCAACAGCTCTGCTGCGGTGTGCTCTGACCCTGTATGACTTCTGCAAAGGCCCTGCTCTTGCAAGAGAATTCTTAAGACTTAGACTTCTGCAGCAGGACCGTAAGAAGAAAACAAAGGCTGAGGCATTACATTATGTTTGGACAGCTGTGGTTAAGGGTGTCGAGCATGTACCTTTTTTAAAGTAGCGGTGATAAAAAGTAGGTCGACCTTTCCAAATGAGAACACCATTCCTGATCTTATGTTGTACACTTCAGATCAGTATGAAGGAGCTGAGTGGCAAGTAAAAGAATAAACTGTGGCAACGTGAAGAGAAGCCCCTTCTGCCTGCATCCTCTCCTCTGTGCCTCTCTCATGGAAATGGTTCAGAAGGGAAGCGATGGGGCAGGATGAGGGAGCTGGCCTTCATCCAGCTGTGGGGAGGGATTGCCTTCAATCCATGTAAGACTCGTTCCTGGACAAAGAGCAGAGTTATTTGGCCTTTGTCACCAATGATGATGCCATACAGGAACAGCTGCTTGGCTCTGGGGAGAGGTCAGCCCTGGGCAGTCCCTGAAATAACTGCTGTGTGTCTCTTCTCGCTCAGCTTGGAGCAATGCTTGTCATCATGTATAAGATTAGGATCAATAATATGGTTGGCAAAAAGAGCATCATGTTATAATACGATTGTGTGTTTATGAATGAGGACTAGCATACATCTATGACCTTTTGTTTACCTTCCTTCTCTGCCTAGACTGACTTTTTTGTCAGCTCGTTAGGTACCGTGTGGTAGAGAGCAACTGAACTGAATTCCCAGCTTTTATCCTCAGAATTATTAAACTGATTTAAAAAATGAAAACCTGTAAGTTGAAAATTAATTTAATTTGATTGAGACATCAACCATGTGCCAGTTAGGCCTGTTACATAGGTTATGTAATTTAATCCTCACAGTAAACCTATGGCATAGGAAGCATTATCCCCCATTTTAGAAATACGGAAACTCAGGCCTCTGTAAAAGGCTATGAGACCTTAAGAAATTGTAAGTACTCTTGAACCCAACCAGAAGATTTTTATGTTAAATATCATGATAATTCCCATAAAGCACATGACAATTTATTTTAGTTAGACAGAATAAGTAATAACTTCAAGTGATAATTAATTAGAGAAAAAATTACCAACATTCAAAAACAATATATGCATTTATTATTCTGGTATAATGTGGTCTTTGCCATCTAGCTGGCTTTAAGTGCTCAGACTGGGAGAGGCTAAATGAGGACTCTGTCCATTTATTTGCATGCTATAGTTTTAAAAGTTTAAAAAGCATCTGCTGATACATTAATCTCATTTGTTCCTACCACAATCCCTAAGTTGGAAGTACAGGTATATTCATTCCTATACTATGGATGATAAAATAGCAGTTAGAAGTGGGATTAGAATAGACATTCTAACACAAACTTTTCTGTACTTTCCATTCCACCAAACATCGTCTCCATTTTTTTGTCAACTGGGTTGTGTTTGGAGTGGATTCTTTAGCTCAGAATTTCCAAATGAGTGTTTTATAACCTGTTAATAGCTATTTATTAAAACAAGTATCTTATTGTCAAATAATTTTGGGAAAAAAATCTGCATACTATAATTCCTTCTTTGAGATTTTAACACTTCCAATGAGAAGTCTTGGAAAAAGCCTATTTAATAGAGCGCCAGTGAAATTCCTCTCTTTTTTTTTTTTTTGAAGAAGGTGGTTGTTGTTGTTAGATACCATTGAGTTAGTTCTGACTCACAGCGACCCTACATACAACAGAACGAAACACTGCCCAGTCCTACGCCATCCTCACAATCGTTGTTATGCATGAGCCCATTGTTGCAGCCACTGTGTCAGTCCATCTCGTTGAGGGTCTTCCTCCTCTTCACCGATCCTCCACTTTATCAAGCATGATGGCCTTCTCCAGGAACTGGTCCCTCCTGGTAACGTGTCCAAAGTACATGAAACAGAGTCTTGCCATCCTCGCTTCCAAGGTGCATTCTGGCTGTACTTCTTTTGAAGAATACTTATTAACGTTTCAGGGACCATGGTTTCACACACAATTGATTCATAATACTAGAGGTTGAAACCAGCAGAAGATACTATGTGTAAACTTTTTGAGAATAGGAAGTTTTAATTTCCATTTTAAAATATCTGCGGATTAAATGAATGGTAAACACATCCAGAAGGCTTAAGGCAGAACCAAATCAGCGATCTTGTGAGAAGTTTCTTTGCATGTCTAAAGATGGTCTTAGAGTCTTGTCTTGAAGTTGGCCTAGCTCTTATCTTTGAACTTAGTCTGGCCTGGTACCCGTACGTTCATGGGGTGGTGCAAATGGTGAAGCACTTGACTACGTACTGAAAAGTTGGTGGTTCAAATTCACCCCCTCAGGTGCCTCGAAAGACAGGCCTGGTGATCTGTTTCCAAAAGGCACAGCCTGAAAAATCCTTTGGAGATTGCCATGAGTCAGAATAGACTTGACGGTAACTGTTTTTTTGGTACCCATAAAAACAAAGAATCATCTTCATCATCAAGCCAATTTCAATTTTAGTTACAGGGTAGAGGTTGCATCTTCTTGTCTAAACCAAGTCCACGTATCTTCCATCTATCCAATATCCCGTTTTGAGCTCTGGAGGCAGTTCATAGAGAATTAGCTGAGCTAAAGGTCTTAGGAGGTATAAAACCTTTTTGGTGGGCATTTGGGGTTTCTCTACTTTCGTATCTCAGGGGTCCTCTTGGTTAATATTTTGTTAGCATTTGGCACCTATTAGCATTTAAATATTTTTAGTTTAGTACCCCTTAATGTCTTCGATAGTGACTATAAGCAATGGATGTAAGATAAAATAGAAAAAAGAGTAAAAAATTTCTTTATTTTTCAATATATAACAATGAATTTAATGCAAAATATTCATTAACCTAATGCAGTTAATTTAGTTGAAAACAATTTAATGCAAAAATAGTATTACTCCTATTTGATTAAAGTGCAAATCTATTAATAATTCCAAGTATTTGTTTGCTAGTTCAGATAATCAGATTTAATTCCAGAACTGAAGACAGAGTCTTGAATCATTAATGCCATTTGAACATTATACTAATGCAAACAGATAGTCTCTTCAGTGTAATTACATGTTAAAATACAGTATAGGAACAGATAGAATATAGACCCTATGTCACACACCTTCTAGGGCTAACAGAGTTCTTCATCAGCCTGTATTCTGTGGTGAGAGGGAGTCCACTACCTGTTTGCTGGTTTCTGGCCAACCCCCCCGACTGGAGCTCAGGTCCCGCTTAACTAGCCTCGCTGATGGGAGAGGCTTACTTCTTTGATCCATAGCCCTGAACATATGGAGAGAAGCCCTTGTCTCTCAGTTGGTGGGGAAATTGGTGCTCAGTGTGTTCTTCCTAAACTCTTTAGGCAAGTCCAGGCTGGCCACACACACTGAGAGAAAAGTCCACGGTCATCCTACAGATAACCCATGTGACCAGAGTGATGATTTATTTACTTTCAACTTGCTCCAAAAGAATTTAAGTCAGGTTAAAAATAAAGATGCAAATACTGGTCAACAGGAATCAGACAGGGAAGAAAACCAGAAATGGGGAAAATAAAATCAGACTTTCACAGAATGTGAAAGATAAATTTGCCCATAACCTTTATAGCTGCCAATACAAAAGGAAAATTCGTTTCCCATAGCAGTTGCTTAGTTGTTATTTTTATATAACCATAGAAACAGGATGAATTGTAATTTCTTCCCGTAATTTATCAGTTTTTAATTTGAATTTACGTGGTTTATTCTTGGAGGCTATTATATTTGACACCAATAAATTAGATATCTTTTACTCATTAATCTCAAACATTTCTGGTTTATTTACTTGTCCCTTCTCCTTAGAAAGAATCTCAGAAGGGAGAAGGAATCTTAGAAGGGATGGTTGTGTAATTCTCATAATATTCATAACACTGTCGTATTTATGTATTGCTTTATAGTTTGTGAAAAGCACCTGTCTGCCTTGGTCTCTTACCTGTGGAGTACACTATGAGTAAGGAGGGACTGCAGCAGGCTGGGCTTTATGGCACCTAGTGTTATACCAGCATCTGTTATGCTAAGGTGTTTCACTTCGAAAAAGTGATAAAGTGACTCAAAATTACATGCCCTTAAAGCAGAATTTTCCTCCTTTTCTAGTTAAGAAAAATATCTTCCACTACAGAGCTGAGAGACCTTAGATATGATCCTATTATCTCCATCTTTCAGTACTGACAAAAGAGAGATTCAAAGTGGAGAAGAGATACTAGTAATTAGTGGGGCAACAGGTGGTCAGTTCAGCCCTCTGCCATCACCCTGTTCTGTGTTCGCTCCATATCACACAAATCTCTTATACAATAATTTATGCTAGTTCTATTTTGCTTACTTCTCAGTGGAAACAAAACATCTCTAAGATATACCTCTGAGTCTTTTTTTTTTTTTTTTTGGATTTAACAAATAAAAATTTATTTTCTCACAGTCTAGTAGGTTGCAAGTCCAAATTCAGGTAGTCAGCCCAGAAGAAGGCTTTCTTTGTCTGTCGGCTCTGGAGGAAGTTCCTTGTCATCAATCTTCCCCTGAACTAGGAGCTTCTCCACACAGGAACCCAAGGTCCAAAGGACACGCTCTGCTCCTGGCGCTGCTTTCTTGGTGGTATGAGGTCCCCCCATCTCTCTCTGCTCACTTCTCTCTTTTATTTTTAATTTTTTTTAATTATACTTTAGATGAAGGTTTACAGAACAAATAGTTTCTCATTAAACAGTCAGTACACATTGTTTTATGACATTGGTTAACAACCCCACGACATGTCAACACTCTCCCTTCTTGACCTTGGAGGATCTTTTTTTTTTGGTGAAAATATACATAGCCAGTGATACACCATTTCAAAAATTTCTACATGTACAATTCAGTGACATCGATTACATTCTTCCAGTTATGCTGCTATTCTCACTATCCTTTTCCAAATTATTCCATCACCATTATTTTCAACTCACTGTCCCCTAGGCTTCCCATCAAACCTTTTGAGTTGCTGTTGTCAATTTGATCTCACATAGATAATTCTTTTTTTTTTTTTGTACTGTAGATGAACGTCTACAGAACAAATAGTTTCTCATTAAACAGTTAGTACACATATTGCCCTATGACAATGGTTAACATACCCATAACATGTCAACACTGTCCCTTCTCAACCTTGGGTTCCCTATCACCAGCTTTCCTGTCCCCTCCTGCCTTCTAGTCCTTGTCCTTGGACTGCTGTGCTTCATTAGTCCTGTTTTGTTTTATGGGGCTGTCCAATCTCCAGTTGAACAGTGAACCTCCGGAGTGACTTCACCACTGAGCTATAAGGGTATCTGGGGGTCATACTCTCAGGGTTTCTCCAGTCTCTGTCAGGCCAGTAAATCTGGTCTTTTTGTGTGAGTTAGAATTTTGTTTTACATCCTTCTCCAGCTCTGTCCAGAACCCTCTGTTAGGATCCTGGTCAGAACGGTCAGTGGTGGTAGCCGGGCACCATCTAGTTGTACTGTACTCGGTTGGAGGCCTTGGTAGCTGTGGTCCATTAGTCCTTTGGACTAATCTTTTCCTTGTATCTTGTTTTCTTCATTCTCCCTTGCTCCCAAAGGGGTGAGACCAGTGGAGTATCTTAGATGGCTGCTCACAGGCTTTTAAGACCCCAGACGCTACTCACCAAGGTAGAATGTAGA